CCCCCGCCCAATCGGCGCGGTAGGAAGCCATGTGTACACCAAACCCCAAGTGCTCGGGTGCTGAACGAGGCTAGACTTGGGGCAGTTCCAGCCCGTCCCAACAGCCTCAAGCCCTGCAGGCCTGTCTGAATAGAAGTACAGAGCACTGAAGATTCCCCCCTCCCCCCAAAAAAAGAAGGCCCACAAACCAACTGTAGGTTCCTTCCATTACTGTTGCTACGTTAGCCTGCCCAGGCTCATGTAGGGGATTTCCACGAATTGTAGACACAACTAGACTTGGGGCAGTTCCAGCCCGTCCCAACAGCCTCAAGCCCTGCAGGCCTGTCTGAATAGAAGTACAGAGCACTGAAGATTCCCCCCTCCCCCCAAAAAAAGAAGGCCCACAAACCAACTGTAGGTTCCTTCCATTACTGTTGCTACGTTAGCCTGCCCAGGCTCATGTAGGGGATTTCCACGAATTGTAGACACAACCCAGACACTCAGCACACGCTCTGTGCACAACGTAGGGCCAGGATGGGCCCCTCCTCCTGTGCGGCAGGGTTGCGTCACGGGAATGAGTGGAGACTGGCCCCTGGGCAGCAGCAGGGGCGTTAAAGCGGAGAAGCCCCTTACTCATAGTCTCCTAGAACTGACGACGCCTACATGGGACTGAGTCCAGTCTCCTACCCCCGGCAGGACCACAGCTGTTTGCATGAGCACAGGTGCTAGGCTGTAGGCATAACAGGCGCTGTCGGGGCACAGTGGAGAACAGGGTGCGTTGTGGGGCTTTATCTCCAGGGGATTGCAGCTCTGCAGAACACACTGCCTGTGTCTACACTGGCATGAATTTCCGGAACTGCTTAAAACGGCATACTAGTCCATTTTCAGTTTTTCCGTAAAAGGAGCATCTACATTGGCAGGCTGCTTTTCCTGGAAAAGCCGTTTTCCGGCAAAGCGTCTGTGGCCAATGTAGACGCGCTTTTCCGGACAAGACTAGTGGGCTGTCTACACTGGCCCTTTTCCAGAACAGTGTTCCGGAATAAGGACTTATGCCCGAGCGGGAGCAGAATAGTTTTTCCGGAAAAGCAGCTGATTTTCCGGAATAAGTGGCCCAGTGTAGACACAGCCACTGTGGTTAGCGCTCAGGCCCGATAAACTGAACACCGGGCTCCTTGCGTTAAGCCGCAGCTGAAATGACTCACTTGGGTTTTGTGCAGACGGCTGCCTGTTTACACCAACCACAATAAGGCAAAATTACCCAGCAACAATTTTTCTGATTTAACCCCCCCCCCCCCCCAATGCTTTGCAGGATGCCTTTGGAACCATCGCTGCCGTGGGGGGCTAGTCTGCCATCCAATGGGTGGCTTCTAATTCGGGGCCCAGCAGGGCTCCTGGGTGTATGTCTCGGCAGTTGGGCTGCTCGGCGGCTGTAGTATTTTGAGAGAGACGTGGGCTCCGTTCCACAGTAACGGGTGGCACGGTGGCTTCCCTGACTCCAGCAGGCACAGCCTCATGCCTGGCCCCCCATGCACACACCCAGGGGTGGTGGCAAAGGAGCAGCAGGGTCTCATACCCCCAATGCCCCTCTGCAGCCTGCCTCGGTCTGCGTGGAAACACCCTCTGAAGGGAGACCAGCCATTTTCTGCCACCGCCCCTCTGCTCGCAGCACTGACGCTGCTCGGCATTAACCCGTCAGGGCAGCAGGTAGGCTAGCCGGGGGAAGGCAGTGCCCTCCCCAGCCGCCAGGCATGGCCCCACCCCCACTACACCAGAGTCCACCCTCCCCAGCGCTCTGGGGCTGAGTAGGCCTGCAACACCCCACCTCACTGTGGTGCTGGGGAGCAGCTGGAAGGGCTTGCCTGCACCCGCCCTGCCCCCCAGCGACCTAGGAGTAGAATCCCTCCCCTGCAGATTGTGTAGGAGCTAAACCCGGCAGCATGTCTCTGCTTTACAGCGTGGCAGCTGATGGGAGGCCAGTGGGGTCAGGGGTTTGCTGCCATTCCACTCTGGGCAGCCCTTGCTGCTGCCCTGCAGCATGAGGAGCCACGCCAGGCCAGTAGGGGGTGCACTGGAGCATGGTTTTACTGCCCAGAGCCGGCCAGCGCTGTGACAGGTGGCGGGGTGCAAGGCAGGACCTGGGTAAGCTGTTCAGATTCCTCCTCTGCTCCCGTGTGGCTGCTACGACAGCGCCAAGGCAGGTAGTGAAATTCTCCTGCACCAGACACTGGTCTCACTAGCAACCAAAACCCTGCCCTTGGGGAGTCAAGGCAGCTACTAGTACCGGACACCTTTCCAGGCCACAGCCAGGGGCAGCCCAGGTCTCAGCTGTGGCTGCAGCATAGCCCCTGCTCAAGCCCAGCTGGCAGCACGGCCTCTGGCCGCTAGAGCACTTTGCCACAGGCGTGGTGCAGGGTTGGGAGCCAGGCCCAGCTCAGGGTCCATGTCGAGTCAGTGGTTATCTGCTGGTACCAGAGACTAGCGCACAGCAGGGGACCCGGCCGTTTTGATCGCTAACTTTACAGAGACGTGGTGGAAAAAGGTTAGCACTGGTCACGTGAGGGCAAAGGCAGCTAGATGTTGGGAATCCCTTGCCTGACTCCCTCCTGCCGTGCTGTGGGCCAGCGGGAATGCAGCCATGCACAGGGAGTTCAAAGCAGCAGTGTCTCTACCCTGGCTGGTACCAGCTCCACGTTCATTTGTTCTGCGTCTTTGCCAGGGACTCCGACAGATGACGGGAGAGGGCGGATCACAGGAGAGCTGAGCCGGGTTGAGTTCCTGTCACATTCACTGTGGGACCTTGGGTGCAGTGCTCAGGCCTCAGTGCTCAACAGTGCCCACTCATTTGGGCTCCTTAATGTTTAGGTGCCCACCTGGGGTGGACGAGGCCGGAGCTTCAAACGTTAAGTAGGCAGCCTGCCCTCGGAGTGCAGGGCGAGTTGCGAGTGCCTCAGCTCCGACAAATCCGCCCAAGGCAGACCCTTGGAAAAGGTGGGCCCCTAGCCGGTGTGTGCTTCGCTTGCAGCATCCAGAGGCAGGGGGTAGCACTGCCTGAGGCTTAGCTCTTTAGAAGCGTGACCTGGGGAAGGGCTCTGCGTAAGCAGCAATGCTTCTCTTGCCAGCCCCAGCTGGGCCAATAAAAACCAATCGCCCCTCCCACCCTGCGCCCCCAGTTCCCAGGGTGGGGTGTAAGTGTGGCTGTACCGGAGAAGGGCTTCCCACCCCGTCACTAAGCACACGGCCCGTCTCTCTCACTACTCCCTTTGCTCCTCAGGCCTGGAGTCTCTGAGGGACAGCGCTCACTCGACCCCGGTGCGCTCAGCCTCTCACAGCGACGCTTTCCTGCCCCCCGTGCGGAGCAGCCGAGTGGACAGCAGCGAGCGAGTGGCAATCATCTCGGACGAGATCTACAGCCCCGCCGACAGCGTGCTGCCCACGCCGGTGGCCGAGCACAGCCTGGAGCTGATGCTGCTCTCCAGGCAGATCAATGGCGCCCCCTGCAGCATCGAAGAGGAAAAGGAGTCTGAAGCCAACACCCCGACAGCCACAGAGGCTGATGAGATGAGAGGAGAGTTCAAAGCCCTGTGTCAGGGTGTCGGAGGCACTGGCGGGACACAAGCTACACAGGTGAATAAGTTTGTTTTAAGTGTCCTCCGTTTGCTCCTTGTGACAGTTGGACTCCTCTTTGTTTTGCTCCTTCTCCTGATCATCCTTACCGAGTCTGACCTTGACGTTGCCTTTTTCCGTGATATTCGCCAGACCCCCGAGTTTGAACAGTTCCATTATCAATACTTTTGTCCCCTCAGGCGATGGTTTGCCTGCAAAGTCCGCTCCGTGCTGAGCCTGCTCATTGACACCTGAAGGCATGACTCTTCCTAATAACTAGCCAGGTGGATTCAGAAGATACCTGCTACCAGTTCCCAGCACATGGGACCCATCGTGGCACCATCGGCCCATAAACTAAGTCCTCCTTTCATGAATCAAAGTACACTGCGCCGTAGGATGTTTGTTTCCTGGAAGAAGAAAAGGATAGGGTTATGCCAGATTAAAAACGCATTTCTTTAGAGCTCCACTTTCCTCAAGTGCTCATTCCGTTTTTAATCCTTGACCTTTGCAGAATAATTTAAGGTTTTAATTTTCATAGACGTGTGTATGACTGTGAAAGTATCAAATCAGAGGAATTTATTTTATTACTACTGATCACTGTATTAGTGTCAGCCAATAGTGGAGACACTAGTACAAGCCTAGAGATATTGTATTATGCAGGAGCGTTAGCAATGGTGCTACTGAGCTGTAATTTAAGTACTAGTGTATTGTTTCGTTATTAAAACTGCCTCGGTGCACAGCACTACCACCTTCAAATGCTTATTTTAAAGAGATCCTCTTTTTACTAACCAGAGCTTAACTGGCAAATGGTTTTTTAATTAGCAAGTGGTCTGGTTTGATTCTGCTACCAACTTAGAAACGTTTTCAACCAACCACAGAATGGGCAAGGAAAAGGGAAGCCAGGAATGGCAGTGTAAGTCTGCTCCTTTAAATAGCATAGAAAGATGTGAATACCTATCCTAGTCTACAACTTAGGCCTTTTCAGAATGTGTTACGCCTTGAACCTTTAGTGCACCACAAGTGTGGCGTTTACCATAGAGGTGTTAAATCCCTAACTACAGTGGAGTGGAGTAATACGGGGATAGTAGATAAATGTATTCAGTTGTGTTCTACGAAGTCCGGGTGCATAATTGGTAACCATACCTGATTTATTTGGGATACACTTTGCCTCAGAAAGATGTTTTGTACAAAGAAAAAGAAGACTGTGGGACCTATATTTTGTTATTGATACTAACCAAGTTTTTTTTAAAAAAACTTTATGGATTAGAGAAATTTAGCGTGATGTTAAAATGACAGGAGTAAGCCAATTATTCTGAAAATAAATGTTTTGTGGAATGGAATTCTAATGGCAGCGTAACCCATTACTAATTTTGGAAAAAAGAAGAACAGGTTTTTTGAAAAATTTCAAAGGTAAAGAGCAGAATTACAAGACAACAATGAAAGAAACCAAGACAAATATGAGCTCTATCCTTAAGAAAAAAAATTAATTAGCTAATTTCTATTGTGACATGAACACATGAATCTTTGATTACCTGGCAAAAATAGCAGCCCATTTATAAGGGGAGCAATAATTGCTATTGTAAAGTTTTGTGAGACGCTGGGCATATTAACAAAACTGACTAGCAAGAGTTTCATTTCATCTCAGGGAGAGATTAAGCAAACTGAGGCCATAGAGCCAATTTTAAAATCTGATTTACATTTTCTGCATCATCAAACCACCTCTGCATACAAACTGAAACAACAGTGGTGTGTGCATATGCACACACCTATGGATTCCCTTTGAAGATGAGTTATGATTTTGTCCTACATTCATTGTGCTCTTTTTCCAAATGTCCAATTATCAATATAGAGAATAACTGGGAAGTTAGTTAGATTCTGACTATTTGTCACTGCAATAAATAAGGCCCATTTTACTAGTTGTCAGATCTTAAAAAAATATGTAGTTTCATGTCACTTACTTTAAAATTAGCCATGGCCATTTGATTGTCAGAAGAGCTGAGAATGATTCTGCATTCAGTTTAATAACTCTCCTAAAGTTAGTTTAAGTTGTGAATGCCAACCACAGGAGAACAAAGGCTAGATTTTTTACATGGGTATATACTGTCTTATGCAACATAGCAAAATTAACTTTTAGTGTAGTGTTCCTACCTCAGTCTGTAGTAAATGGTGTTTTCTATGCAGTGAGTGATAGTCTTAAACTAAACATTTTTCTTCCTAGATTAAAGATGCAGTATTCCATTGTTTTAATTGCTAATACTAGTTGTTTGTCATAACAATGCATTATCATCCAGTGACAGGTGTGGCTCCAATATGTTCCACATTAAATTGTCATTTTTCAAAAACCACCGAGATGAAATATTGACCTTGACGAACTTTTGCATCAATCTGTTTTTAGAATAGTGATAAATACCATCCTTTGTTTAACCTTTTGCAGCTTTTACCTGGCATTTTATCCTAAAATTAATTAGTAGTTTTTTAAATCTTATTTTTTTTCCCGTTTGTGCCATGATATGTTTCATATTTTGCTGTTAGTTTTATCTGTCATTTGTATAAAAAGTCGTTTCCATAGTTCTTATATCAGAGGAAGCAAAACTCTTAATAAAGAATAGTGTACTGCATCTTTAAGCAGTAGAGGGTAAAAATACCAGAAAATGTGAATTTCTTAGTTTTCATAGAAGTTAACCTTTCATGTGCCAAACACTGTAAGTTACATTTTTTCCTCCAAAACAATGTACCTTTTTCTACATATTCAATATGTAGTTAGCATAAAATCATTGGTGCCATGAAAAGTATTTTTAAATTTAAATAAATATTTAAGTATCATGAAAACCCAGAGTTGGCATGTATTTTTTTAAAAAATCACTCATTTGACTGGTGATAATATTTTACAGCTTCAACAGCAGTTTTATTTGATCAATAACTTCAGAAATTAGTCCTTAAACATAATGGTCCAAATTCTGCACCCTTTAACTTACACAAACTTCCCATCAGAAAAAAAAAATCAATGCAGATTCTGGCTTTTTAAGCAGAGAAATTCCCAAATTACACACACTCTCCAAACTCCGTAAGCCTAACGTGTGCATTCTCTCTCTGTATCGCTATAGGTATTTGCATGGCTTAACAATTGTGCCTTCATCCTTACTGACTTACCTTGTTTTCTAAAAAGCCATCCTTTAAAACATGTCGCTGTACCCAAGAGGTTGTGCATTCTCAGCAAGTCCTGCTCCCACGATGAAACTGACACCATAGAGCAAGATGAATCTAGCAGAAAGACAGACTCACCTCCCACCTTCCCATCCCTCTCCCTGCTCTGCTGAGCACAGTGCCAGCCATGGCTAACTTACCACAATTACACTCATTACACACCGTTTACATGCACAGTGTGAATATCAAATACATTTTGAAGACAGCAGGAGTGACAACAGCTCACAGATCCATCTTCAAGAGTGAAAGCCAAGCCAGGCTGGCAATTGAAGGCAGAGAGTGGTACAATTTTTTGGCAGTGGTCATCGTGTAGCAGAGTGGTGAGATGAAAAGTGCATTAAAGTGATCTCATTTCAGCCGACTCTTGTCCAAGAAGACCAGAAGTGCCTCAGAGTTGAGCAATGACTGTTTGAATGCAGGCAAGCTTAAAGACCTTTTTGTACCATACTGTAGCTTTAATGTTTCCAAGTGCATTAGGTACAAGTGTAGCCCATCTGCTAGGTGGCATAGGCAGAGACAGGGGACAGGTTTGGAATCTAAGGGCACCTGCTTTTTACAGGACAGGACCAGCTCAACATCCCCCAGTAATGCAAGAAAAGCAACCTTCAGCCTGGGCACTGCCGGGAGGTAACACTTTCCCACTCGCAAACACTGAGTCTGTATGAAAAAGAGCTTTTATTGAAGAAGAAAGTAGCATTAACTTGGGGCGCTCATGCCACAATGACCTGAAAGACGTTAAACACCCACAATGATCTGAAAGACGTTAAACACCCACCTTACAATATCTTGGGTGGTGTCCATGTTCCTCGATTCTCACCTTGTCCTGTTGAAAATCCAAGGGACGAAGGTCTCTAACATGCCACTGGCCTTTGTCCAGCCTCTGGTCCCCACTTGTGCTCTGGGACCACTTCTGACCTTCGAGGAGTGCGTTGGGGATGGTGTTCACCTGTCTGAGGGAGAGGGCTGGCGGTGTGCTAGTATTTCTGCTGCCAACACCAGCACCATTTGGCACTGCCTCTGCTCCCAGTGCTGGCGTGAGACGCAGCATGAGAGCAGCAGCTCTGGGATTTCAGCTCGTTAGTGATTCCGCAGCGTAGCCAGGAACCTCTGCTGCTGCCTGTTCTACACCAGGGTGAACCTCCAGCACCTGACTGCTACAGATTTAATATTCATAACTTTTTTTTTTTTTTAAAGAAAGACTATACAGAATGTTTCCAAATAATGTGCAAGTTAAAGCCTTTTAATGTATATCTTTGACCTGAGAAACACACAACACTGAACATACTTTATGTAGGAAAAACTTCAGCAATCTTTAAAAACATGGAGACGGCCACTGGAGTTGCCACCAACTAGGATATTCTTTGTAGGGTGCACAGCGTTGATGGAACAAACAGAGCCAAGGTAATCTTCATTATAAAAAGAGTGCAACAGTTTACCAGTAGCCTGGAAGATTTCTATTTGCCGTGGGCGTGCCATGCTGCCAACCACAAAACAGTCTTCCTGTTTAGGGTCCCACACTGCTCTGAACCTAGTTAACCAGCGGCCTGTGTTATTGTTATGTCTATTCAGAAAAATGAAAGAGAAAAGAAAAAAAAATCAAACCCTGAATTCAGTAAGCTGCCTATTTCAATTCTGCTATTTCAAGTGCTCTTGTTTAGAGCATCCATTGACCACACATCCAACCTCATCTTCTCGTCATCACCACATTCAACTAGTTTAGAGATGGCACTTTTCAGATCCATTCAACACTTCTCCCCAACAGATCATTAGTGATAGGACTCACCCCTTTCCTCTCACCAGGCTTTCTAGAGAAAGGGATGGTAACAGGATAAAAAGGAGGACTAAAGACGAGAACATAACAGCCAGACTGGGTCAGACCAAAGGTCCATCTAGCCCAGTGTCCTAACTGCCAACAGTAGCCAATGCCAGATACCTCAAAGGAAATGAACAGAACAGGTAATCCTCAAATGAGTTTCTGTCACCCATTCCCAAATAGAGGTGAGGGACACCATTCCTGTCCACTGATGGACCTGTCTCCCAGGAACATATGTATTTTTTAACCCTGTTATAGTCTTGGCCTTCACAACATTCTCTGGCAAGGCGTTCCACAGGATGACTGTGCATTATGTGGAAATACTTCCTTTGGTTTGTTTTAAACCTACTGCAAGAAAAGTGTAGCAAGTGATCCTCTGACATAATAAGCATCTATTACTGTAAAGGTTAAAAAAGGTCTGAGATTGTCTTTGGATACCAATCCAGGAATACACCATTAAGCCCATTTTAAAAATCCAACATTTAAATTTTTCAGGCCAGTCAGACCTAATAGCAACCTCTCTGTGACCCCAGAGGTGGCCACGACAGATTTGATGGAGGGAGTCCGGCTTTTCTTATTCCCAGAAAGGAACTGCATGCTGTAGGACTGGATGGAGTGGGGGATGAAGGAAAGGGAATAAGAAAAAGAAAAATATCTCCATTTATAAGCAGTGCCCTTTATTACCAAAATGTGTTGATTTGAGTATCCTGTTCACCCACAAAATATTTTTAGAATTACAAAATAATGTTTTAAAAGACAAAATACCAATGACACCACACCCTGAAACACAAACTTCTTAAAAATACAGGGTCAAAACAGGTTTTAATACTTCAAGTTACACAGAAAAATATGAAAAGCCTCCTCACAAATCTAGAGGACTAAACTTTGGGCTGTATCCAAGCTGGGCCTGGAGCAGGGTGGCTGGGCACCTGTAGTGGACTATAGTATAGACTACCCTGACTCTGGGTCCTTTGCCTAAAGAATAGCGTTAGGGCTGCTCTCCCTAATGCAGCTGCCTACGACACCAACAGCTCTTCTAGCAGCTGAAGAATCACTAGGTTTAGGTAAGCCCTAGACAGGGCTACTTTTCTCAGTACAAGCTACTATGACAGCTCTGTGCCACCTGGAGGCTCCCTCCACCAACTGGTTATGCTAGTTTTACACATCACCAAGCAACCACAAAAGGGGAGATCCTTAGCAGTGCAATATGTAACTTACCTGATAGCAGTGACAACAGGAATCGCAGCTGATAAAGAGCTGGTGTCATAGACTCTGTGAAATAAACCAAATCATTTAATCTACATCAACATAAACAAGACGTACCTGTAAAATACCTATATAGGGTACGTCTAGACTACATGCCTCTGTCGCCAGAGGCATGTAGATTAGGCTACCAGACATAGGAAAATGAAGCGGCGATTTAAATAATCGCAGCTTCATTTAAATTTACATTGCTGCCGCGCTGAGCCGACAAACAGCTGATCAGCAATGCTGGATGCTCTGCGCCAACCTGAAAGCCTTTTATCGACATCCCCCTTATGCCTCGTAGGATGAGGTTTACAGGGGATGTCGATAAAAATGTAAATTTAAATGAAGAGGCGATTATTTAAATCGCCGCTTCATTTTCCTATGTCTGGTAGCCTAATCTACATGCCTCTGGCGACAGAGGCATGTAGTCTAGACGTGCCCATAGAGTAATGTAATCAGACAATACAAGTTTTGGAAAATGACAAGCTCTGCACTTGTAAAATCCATTTCAGGGACAGGCATTAAAATCCTGATTCCATTAACAGACATGTTCTAAAGCGAGTAAGCACTAACACAGTTCAGTTGTGGTCTGCTGTGCTGCAGCATCACAAGTGACTAAAAAGTCCAATTTTGGGGCAACAGCCTTTGCCACGGACAACACTGTAGCACAGGGCCAGAAGCTGAAGCTGGTGCATTATTACAACTTGAGGCCTGCTGTGCTTTCCTCTCTTCCCAGTGCTCTCACCCACCTCTCTTAGGGTATGACTAATGCATACGTTCTTGACAGATTTTTTTTTTTTTTTTAAACACACATACTATTTTATATAGGGCCTAAGTTTTCAGCCTAGCTTTAAGAAGACCTCTCATTTTCTGCCTACTGTTCTGTGATATAATTTAAGTTAAACATTTAAGTAACCCCATTTGTGGATGCAATCAGATGCTTAGATGGCAAGATTATTTAAATAATGATCACAAATTGACAGCATGAATAGTGAGACACTATGAAAATACAATCCACACTATGAATTCAGTCCTAATTATGTCTTATGCTTTATTCAACTCAAGGCAACATATAAAAATATTAGCTCTTTTTTGCAGGAAATTCAAATTCAGGATCTCAGCATTTGTAATAGCTACACATGGATTAATTAACATGTTTTTTGGAAAAGATAGCCCTATCTGTTTCTATTTATGGTCAAAGTAGTACATTCTAAAGATAAACGAAGGTAGAAATGTAAACAAAGAAATGTTACAAAATATTACAAGAAATTCTACTTAATGTGAAGAAAAAGCAACTAAGGACTTCTCACACCCTTACCTCAACTTATCATCAGCACACGTTGTCACCACTCTGTGGCCAGTAATAGGTGAGAAATATGCAGAAGCAACACTCTTTGTGTGTCCACTAAGAAAGAGTATGGGCTTATTTCCATTAGGCTTCAAGTACCGTGTATCATACACGCCAACATTCCTGGAAGAGAGCACAAAGCCATTTTATAACAGTTTTATTATGAAATGTAAGCTAGTTACATAACTACTATGAAGCAGTTGCATAATCTTTAAAATTTAAATTTTCCGTTTCCCTCACTTCCACACAAGTGAGGGAACAGAGAACACTAGCTGCATCTTATTAAAAAAAAACTTTACATACGATAATAATTGCCCTTAAATTCTACCTGTTAATAGTACATCCTGCCCTAAACCACTCACAAGGCAAACAACAATTACAAATGTCCATGCTGTCTAAGCAATTACCAAAAGCCTTTATTTCCCCAAAGATCACCTGAAAAAGATGCTACTCAATATTTCTGAAGAGACACCATCCATGAAAATGGCAACCGCAGGAGGGTGTTCTAGTATTTTCAACCCTTTTTTCCCCAAAGCCAAAGTGCCCCCCCATAATATCCTTTTATAACTCCCAACACAAAAGTATTAGAGAAAGCCAGATTATATCAGATATTAAGTTTTTGTAGAATGTTTTCCTAAATGATCAGAAAAACCTTGCATATATTCATGTGAAAAAACTTCCCTGTCATAAATATCAATGGATGATCTCTTTCCCCAAATAGATGCCATATACAGCTGATTCCCAATACCTTCCTGTGAATCTGTGGCACAGACCTCAAAGCACACAAATCCCTGAAATACATTTAAAATGTACGTACACTGCGCCTGCAGCAATGAAATATTGTCTGTTCACAGGATGAACATGGACAGTCCTTGTAGTCTTTGAATTAACGTTTGCAGTAAGTTCAGAAGAAGTTCCTGGTGTCCGTCTGTCCACAATGGCCACATCACCATCCCACTGTCCCACCACCAATGAGGATGTATTGTCTGTCAAGAAGTCAAAGGAAGATAAGCTGTTTTCTTCACTTCTGTACACCTAAGGAAGGAAGAGGGTTTTTATGTAAGGCAATGTGTAACTGGTTAAAATAAAATCAGACTAATCAACTATTTCCATACTGATACTTCACAGCAATTGAAGCGTACAATAGAATGGAATCTGTTTTAACTACAGCTATGTCCTTTCACGCTGAACTATACTGGGAACACAAGTTAAAAAAAAGCAACAGTGATCCATTTAAGTAGCTTTTTCACACCACCAGGTGGAATAAAGAAAGTCTCTCTAATAGGGTTGTTTTGGACTAAGTATGACAAATAAACATACTTTGGCCCTTTTGTTTATCGACTCCAACATAAGATCTTATCATCCCACTATTTCCACAAGCAGATGACGGACTTAGCAAGCAAATCTCAGGTGGGTACTGAAGAGGGTAGGACAGGCTGTGTGCCCACTCCAAGTAGGGCTGCCAGGTGTCCGGTATTTTCACGGGACCATCTGGTATTTTCATCGGACAGTCTGGTATTTTATGTTTTTTATCCAGCCGGAAGGCGAAAATCCCAGGTGCTTACTGGGTTCCACGGGGAACTCTCCAGCCCGCACAGGGAGGCATGATGGCGGGCGGCCGCCAGCAGCCTGTTAGGGCCAAAAAGCCTCAGAAGCGTTTCTTAAAGGGGCCACCCTTTTTTTTTGGTTCAGTATTTTTTCAGAACCCATCTGGCAACCCTAACCCCAAGCCCAAGGATGCCCCTTGCTAGGTGTGCCAAGCAGGATCAGGCTCCATGGCATTTGAGCAGCACACTCAGAATGAGCAGGAGCCTGCGCTCGTGCCAATCTCCCGTCAGAGTGGCAATTACCCATAATTCAGGCAATGGTGCTTTGAGCAACAGTAATTTAAGATGTCTTTACTCAGGCTCTGTTTTAGTCACAGGTGTTTTCAGTACGAGAAGTCATGGACAGGCCAAGGGCAGTAAACCAAAATTCACAGCCCTGACCTGACCCACAACTTGTACTATAGACCCCTAACTAAACCTTGGGCCAGGAGGCTGAGGGTGCTCTGGAAGAGCTGACCAGCGTGCCACAGGAACTGGGGGCTGGCCCAGGATCCCCACTGCCGCTGAGGGAGGAAGCGGGCCAGGGCACATGGCCTGGGATCTCTTACCCGACTCCGCACAGCTGCCCAGAAGCTGCCGGCATGTCTGTGCAACTCCTAGGGAGAGGAAAGGCCAGGGAGCTCCTCATGCTGCCCCAGTCACAAACTCTGGTCTGCAGCTCCCGTTGCCTGGCAATACAGCCAATGGAGCTACGGGGGCAGCGCCTAAGAGTTGCAGGGACATGCCAGCCACTTCTTAGGAGCCTCCCATGGTAAATGCCACCCCCCAGCCCAGCCCTGAACTCCTCTCACGCACAGTCTGCCCAGCAGTGGCGAGTGCAGCTCTTGGGCAGCCATGAAGTCATCTGCAGAAGTCACTGAGATCACAGAAATTCATGGAATCTGTGACCTCCGTGACAGATACGCAGCCTTATTCATTACTGCTCCCTCCAGGGGAACCTGGCCACCGGCAGGACCCTACTTGTAGAAGTTATGTGACCATGAGAAGCCAAGACCAGAACTGCCAATCCCTTCCTAGGAGCCACGGAGATAGAATGTATGTGCCACTTGGCCGCTCTGTGGAGCTCCAAGCAGTTGTTTCTGGAATAACGGTGAGAACAATTAAACTAACAGGGGTTTTACATTGCACCATGACTGAGAATTGTAGAGCTCATCTAAAGAAAAACTGTTAAATCAGATGCTTTAAAATATACTTTAAAAAAATGAAGAGCATTTACTGGGTTAAATAAGAGACCCATGACTGCAGATGAAACTCATTTTAACAAGAAACAGGTTTCTTCACTGAGGACAAGTTAAAGAGGGTGTCCATGACAAGTTATAGGAAAGTTCTCTTAAAACACTGTAGTCAAATCAAAACCAAATCACGTTTTCCAGAGATCTAGTTGGCCAAGAGGCTTCCATTTCCCCCCGTATTATGAAAAAGTTTTCTTTGGTTACTTTATGTAGCCTTATGAGGGGATAGTGGTAAACTTCCCAGCAATCTGAGGAGCTAACAAGTCATTTGTGGTATTAAGTGGTTGAATATGTATGTACAGACGGAGTCGTCGCTCGATGGATCTCATCTTCTATGATGCTGTTGGTGAGCAACTAAGCCAATCCTTGACTGGCAAATCCGATTACAGATGTCACAAAAATCCGCCATCTGTGGGTGTTGTACATTCTTTTCTGATCCTACACTTCTCTTGTAACCTCTGGATACACTAACTCTTGAAGCATTTGAGAACTTGTACAACAGTTTGCCACCAGAACAATCTGTCGTGATCTACAATTTCCAGGTCACCAGGAGATATGCTGCATGACTTCACATTGGCCTTTATGATATCCTTTAACACGTATACTGGTCCCCAACAGAGTGCTTTCCAGGAAGAATCTGGCTGTAGAAGATCATCTTCAGTATCCCTATATCATCCATCCTCATAACATGACCAATACAGCAAAACTGTTTGCAAGCATTGCTTTCATGCCCAGGACACCAGACACTTTAAGACCTTCTTGTTAGAATGTTGTCCCATCAATTGGCATGGGCAATCTTCCTTAGGCAGTGCGTATGGAGCTGAGTTTCAAAACACAGCAAGTGATAGGTGGTCCATGACTCCGAGCCATACAGCAGGATATTCAGGACAACTGCCTGATAACTGTTACCTTCGTATGAGTGTTTGGTCAATCTTCTGAAGACTGCACTGGCTTTGGCTAGTCATGCAGATCATCGCCATCAGTGTTTATGCTTTTAAGGCATGCAATTTATCAAGAGCCTTAAGGACAGTATCAGCAGCAATGATCCCTGGAGTACTGGGCTCTTTCCGAACAGGCTGAGACATAGCCTCTGTCTTCCTGAGTCTCACAGAGAGTCCAAAACCGTGAGCAGAAGTAGTAAAATGATCAAAAAGAGCTCCTGCGCATCCTCAACTGAATGAGCCAACAATGCACAGACATCAGCAAACAGCAGGTCACAGTCAGTGGAAGTGACCACTTTGGTGCAAGCCTGAAGTCTTTGGAGGTTGAAAATGCCACCATCAGTTCGGAACAGAATAGGTGTGCCCAATGCGCAATCCTTGAAAGCAACTAACAGCAAAATTGAAAAGCAGATGCTAAAAAGGAGAGGAGCAAGGACACATCCTTGCTTTGTACCATCTGATACTTGAAAAGGTGCTGATGTATAGATGCGACCCAGCATACCCTCATGAAAGGGCCAAACTATATTGATCAATTTTTCAAGACAACTGATTCGCCCAAGTACCTTCCTGAACGCTTTCTGATGACTGTATCAAACACCTTGGTCAGGTCAATGAAAATCACAGAGATCCTGATGCTGCTCTCTACATTCTCCTTTTCTCCGAAATCTTTAGCATCAAGAGATCTACTTTCACATATGAAATGATTTAAGTGAGGCTGGCTTGAGTTCCAACCTTACTCTCGCAAACCAACCATTGTACACAGCCACAGGAATTGCGACATGCACACTGGAGGGAGGGAGTGCAGGTCTGAGATCAGAGTTGCCTTCTTCTAGACAGACATGTCTAAAAAGACTTAGCAACCTCTCCCTGCCCCGGTTTGAAATCAAAGTCTCCCTTCTCCATGGCGCCTTATTCCACATTATTTGGTGCATCCTCGAGATCACTCTATGGAGGGCTTCCTCATTCTGCCACCCTGAGAACGCATCTCAAAGCTGTAGTACCTCTGCACAAGAGGGGCTGAATATACTTTATAGCTATATCTCTATGGATAGATTCATAAGGAGACTTATGCATAATGGAAGTGCATAAACATTCACCTCTTCAAAGACAGCTCTGGTAACATCCCCACATCGTACTGTTCCATCATGGCTCAGAGACAGCAGATGAGCAGGATTACATGGAGAAAAATACATGCAGCTCACTGGCTGACTATGTGGTATAAAGACATAAATTCCATCTTCAGATTTTGAGTTCTGAAAATAAAAAAAGATTCAGCACACACAATGTTAACTATCTCATTTCTATTTGTACAGTATGTACTGCTCTTTCAAGTTCTTCGTCTCAATTCTGTATCACAACTCATACGGATTTACTTTTTCCTAATCTTTTCGGAATGATTGCATGCACCAGCAAATCCATTTGTTGGATAAACTAATAGAACAAGTTTGCTTCCAGCAGCCCAAATGGCAAATTTAGCCCTATTTTAGGCTTTGAGTCAAATCTTTGGAGTCCCTGCCAATGCTAAATTACCACTGACGTTAAGGATTTCTGCCTGAGGGCACACTGAATGATTTGGCTCACAATTTGCAGTTCAACATACTACTGACAGGCCCGTGCTTTCTTTCTCCTCCTCCTCTCCATCACTGTACAAGTGGTTTAGCTACATGTGCTACAGATATTTCATGATTACAAAACCTCCTAGAGAGGAGGGGCTGCAACTTCTGCTGTAACGTACATCTGCTGTTCTACATCATCGGATTGTTTTCAATGCTACAATTGATTTACATTCAATTTGGAGTTAGAAACAAAACGGTAACTTTTCTACATCTTATCGGCTAATCATGCTGATACCACCACAGCATCCAATCAACATGTAAAATAGTGTCAAATTCTTCTTTTTTGGTTTTGGAACTAATCTTCCTTCTATGGATGTTATTCTTTGTCCCAAAACTGAGCTCCCTTCAGCAAACAGACTGATTTAGCCTAGATGATCTCTGATAAATCTGTCTAACCTGTTCTTAAAAGCCTCCAAGAATGTGGATTCTACAACCTCATTAAGTAACTTTTCCCAGTGCTTAACTATCCTTATACTGCAATTTGAAAGTTTTGCCCCAATAGCCAAACCATACTGCAAACTAAACTTGTCCTAGCCTTGAAGGATACTGAATATTAGTCACAAAAATCCAGATACAGAGAAAAGTTACATTTGATCATTTTTAGAAGGTTTTACAAATTATTCCAAGTTTTTGTGTGTGTTACAGCAATGTCCAAAGGCACCAATCAAGACCATAAGCACCTTGTGCAAGGTGCTATACAAGCATATAAAGATGTAGACTTTGCTGTTAGAATTTAAGACACAATTGTAACAAACGATAGAGGAAAGGACAAGTGTAATGAAAATAGGCACCTAAGAGATCCATGATCTGGTGGCTCTTTCATGACTATAGTACATGATGACATCAGAATCTGTAATATTTTTACATCCCTGTCAGGTACAGAAGTACTATTATTGCCATTCTATAGGTGGGGAACTGAGGCACAGAGAGACTAATGGGTAAAGTCTCAGCCCCTCTGAAAAAAAAGGGGGTTTTGCCACTGACTTCAATGGAAGCAGTATTTCACCATGCATGCATTCCCCAGACTCACAAAGGGTATGTCTATGGCAAAGCATAGAACTGGACCTGGGACATCTGGCGCTAGAACTACTGGATCATGCTTCCCCTCATCATGTAGTGACAATGGCTGGCACAACTTGATGGTTCTGAATGATGAGTCTTTTTAACCCTATACCTAGCTGGCATTATTCAGTTACCTTTGAGTGTCAATCTAGCTCACAGTAGTTGACGGATGGCTTGGAGGCATCAAGGCAGAAATGGGTCTTGAGGAGGGTAAAGAAATGAAAGGCAGTAGCTTCACACACTAAGTCAGGGCGGGTGGTTTCATGTATAAGGAACAGCACGAAAGAAAGAGCAAGCAGCCGCAGAAGAGAGAAATGGGCACTGAAGGTGAGCATCTATGGCACAATAGAGAGGATGGTGATGCAACAGAATGTGTGTTTGTGTATATTTATTTACAAAGTAGTAGTAAAAGGCAAAACTGCAAAGGGTCTTAAAGATAAGACCAAGAAGCGGGAATGTAATGCATTGGAAAAGCAGGAAACTACAGTAGACATTCCAAGAGAGCTGGCACATAACAGTATAACAGCAGCTTCATTGTGAATGCACATGAGACAGCTGACATGGGTGTCAGGGAGGGCCAGCTTCTGTTGATGAGAGACAGTGTAGCATAGACAAATGCATAACAGTGTGTGACGGCATAACAATTTTATACTAGTTGGGATGATAGGATTCCCTCACTGCCATCATCACAATTTCAGGCACATTGAAACTGTATTGCCTTCCCCCACAACACACAAAATCGTATGGTCTCCCATTTTACCCCCTTTGCACTGGAGTCTCACTTCTGGCGAACATCTATTAAACACATTTGCTAACATCATTCATTATATAGCTCCACCCCATAAGGTTCCCAACAGAGGAATCCTAAGCACAACCCTCTCCTCCCATTAAAACCAGTAACTCCAAAGAGATATATCACAACTTACCAAATCCCAAAGACCAATCTGTCCAGACTTGTCTCCCGCTGCCACCAAGGTTCTGCTTTCAGAAGGATGGATGGCCACAGAATATATTCTATTTTTGACAACTTTTGTAACAGCATCTTCACTCAGGATCATACGACTCAGACTGGCTTTGTATCTAGGCAACATCATTAAACTGTTAGATATTCTCCCCCCAAAGTAAAAACCGACAAATAATTTGTTTATAGATTACCTTTCTATGTTACATAGATGTTTTTCAGTATCAGTAGGTTTTATCTGCATTATAAGACAGAAAAACAAAAGTACAAGTTAAAGTTGGGCACAAATTTACATGCATACAATTATTATAGGCTCAGTCTAAGTTACGGATGTTAAACATTTATTTTTGTAAATGTGTAACTGCTGAAATGTTTTAGGTTACACGTTTACACGCGCGGGGAGCAGCGGCGTCCGTTAATTCCTTGCTCTGATTTGCAGGTACCATTGGAAGAGGTTCAGGTGGTAACTGAAGCTATTTAAAGGGCAGAAACAATGTTAAACAGTTGGTGCTCATGGGGCACTGGCTTTTAAGCTCCTGCCTCCCCACCACCATCGCTGCTGCCTGATGAGAGAGGCAGAAGCCCGGGAGGCAGGCAGCTCCACAGGAGCTGGTACGTGCAGGGAGCTAGCTTCCCATGTGTATTGGCTCCACCACCCCTCCTCCCACCCCCGCACTACAGGTTCTGTATCAGAGGCAGCAGTGTGTGGAGGAAAGGAGGAGGAGGAGGAGGACAGGTGGTTCCGAAGGAGCTGATGATCACGAGGAGCCGATTTTTAAGGCAGGGGAGAGCAAGTGGCTCTGCGGGAGCTGCCATGGGCAGGGAGCTGGCTTAAAAGCCCCCCAGCACCAGCTCCAGCCTCTGCCCCCCCTTGCTGCCTCTGATACAGGAGCAGAATCAGAGGCAGCAAGGGGAGGGGGCTGCACATAACTGTTAGAATTAACCGATGAGCCCAGGTTTATAGGTTAATTATGTAAACAAGTACATGCTAACATCCCTAATCTAAATGCTCAAAACATTAGTGAATGATGGGCAATACCTGACTTATCTGTGTCCATGTGTCCAGAAACGTGTCCGTTAATTCCTTGCTCTGATTTGCAGTTACCATTGGAAGAGGTCCAGGTGGCAACTGACGCTATTTAAAGGGCAGAAACAATGTTAAACATCCCTTTGCATCTTTTACAGCTTCCCAACCAGTTCAACTAACTACAACAATGAATAAGCTAGTGAATGAAAGGGAGCTAGCTAGCAATTATAGCTGCCATAAATCTGTCCTTTCAAGATATTAAATTGAGAGAAAATTGTATAAAGAGAAATTCATATAAAAATATCTTATCCTAGGAGTCAAGGGCAGGAAGTAGTAAAATGCGAGCGAGAACAGGTGGCCTCCTATACCCTTTCCTTTCCCCCCCAACTCTGAGCATTGTCTTCAGCAACTACATTGCAGAAGTTCAGCATTGTTTCTGCAGTAATACAAAAGCGATGAGGAGTCCTGTGGCACCTTATAGACTAACTGAAGTGTAGGAGCATAAGCTTTCGTGGGCAAAGACCCACTTCGTCAGATGCATCTGACGAAGTGGGTCTTTGCCCACGAAAGCTTATGCTCCTACACTTCAGTTAGTCTATAAGGTGCCACAGGACTCCTCGTCGCTTTTGCAGATTCAGACTAACACGGCTACCCCTCTGATACTTGACACTCTGCAGTAATACAGAAAATCTAAATGATCGACTCACATAGGAATATAATTTTACATGTTGCTATATAACTTCCTCAAATAAGGTAGTACATGAGTTGGGAAAAAATAAATTAACAAAACTTTAGTTTCAAGATATGCTGAAAACATTAAAGAGAACAAAAATCCTTGAATTAATGCTGACAACGCTCCAAATCAATGAATTACTGAGCATACATTACATCCAACAATATTATGCAGTCAGGTGACAAAGGATTATTTCTTCAACTTAAGCCACAGAACATAGAGCTAACTATTGCACACTGCACTTCTGCCACCTGATTTACCTTTCCACTGAACTTCTCTGAGCACGCTCTATTGAGATTATTTTGAACAGAATTTACTTTGCTTCTGCACAACCCTAGATCACTTTCACAGCGCCATATTCTCCTATTGCTCTTGAGAAAGTGCCTCAAAAGCCAAGGGGCATTTCATGGAACAAAGTACTACTCAACATGACCAAGGGTGAAAGACTCTGAATCATACAACTCACTGCATGAAAAACTTCAAGTATCTCCACATTATTGAGTAAAACTTATTTAGCAATTAGGGATCACTATCACAGTCAAAATCATTCAGATTCATTAAAATTAGTATATTTAAATAAAAATCTAACACAATTTTATAAAGCTGCCAAATAGGCACTGTATTGTTCTCTCTCCTTCAGCATCTTACATATTCATCAGTTTCTGGTTCTGGCTGTGCTGGAATTTCTGGCAACGGAACTCCTGACGGATCTACTTTTTGCAAGCGCATAGATCTTCGACGCACTGTCTCACATTCTGTCTTTTTGGGTTTAACTCTAGAGGAATGGAAATACTCAAATGAGCAAGGTGTTCCTAGGGTAAAGGAATCCAAAACAGGTTTGGATCTTTATTTCTGGAACTCTGACCCCGATTAAAAACACCACTCGCTTTGATTCGTGCTAGAAATGCATTTTTGCTCAGAGAGTCATAGAAACGTAGAGATGGATAAGACCTTTAAGAGGATGTGTAGTTCATGCTCCTGTGCTAAAGCAGAACCAAATATACATAGGCCAACCCTGACAGCTGTTTGTTTACAAAATAATTTACTTCACCCCAGCATGTCTTTAGTTGACATCGTCTAGGAATGTTTATCTTTACTACACTCTTGCTTTTCATTTATATCTACCCTCTCCAAGTTCTCCTCTCTCCCCAATTCTAGCTATTTATTGCGTGGCAAACAATTAAGATAATATAGCGCTAAAGCTGCTTCGCTTTATGTTATCTTCTCACAGAACAGTGAATGGAACAAAACCCAAAACTTTGAAATCAGGAAATGCAAACATAAGGTTGCCCGTGCAAGCTTAACTCTCACCTCTTTCAGAAATGCCTGAATACACCCTGAAAACACACGTACCTTTACTTTATTAACCCAACAGTTGCTGAAATATACAAACTGAATCGGTCTTTCAGGCTTCCATTCTACATCATAATCTTCTTTTATATCACCTTTCATACTGTATTTTATTTTATTCTTATTCCTCTCCACACTGTAGCTTGTTTTCCTGTTTTTGCTTAATTATAGCTATTCCTAATGTTCCCCTTTATCCTTTTTTTTAATTTTTTTCCTCTCCAGTCCGTTTCCCTTCTTTCCATTATCAGGCTGATTTTTTCCTTCTTAGCCATCAGGTTGGATATCACACTAAATGACTTCAAGATCCCTTCCAGCCTTACATTTCTATGACTCGACAAGGACAAGATGCTCTTGAAATCTCACTGAAAAAATAATTATTACTTTCATGCTATTTTCACCAGAAAGACAGTCATACTACTATTTTTTTTTAAAAAAGATGAAGTACAGAAATACACTAAGTGAAAATTTACCAATGGAGAAGTTACATGGATAGTTTAAGGTAATTGGTGGTCTAGATCTGAATTTAAATGTGCTGCATGTACATATACTAAAGTAAAAGTAGCAAAAATGTTGGTGTGTTTCTCAGATATGGTTATTTTACCTTTTGATTCCATGAGATTGTCTTTTGGTTGCTATTTCACGAAGTCTTGAAGCTGACTTGAAAGAAAAATGTAGAAATATAAGAAAAATAATCAGATGAACAAGTGTTTAATGGTTTTGTGAAATACAGTTATGAAAACTAATGATTATGAGGTTTTCTGTGTTCATTCTCTCTCAATTATCTGACATTCAGTTTACCAGTCATATCTGCCTAACTTCCAATTCTACAAACTAAAGAGTAAACCTGCAACTTGAACTGTGTTGTTTCTGTCTTTGTATTTGCAAGTTGTTACTCCCTAGCAAAAAAAATAAAATAAAAACAAATTAACTGAATTCTGGGGCATCTTATGATACACAAGAACAGAATACTATCTATCTTGGTATTCTATGGCTGTATTCATCTTGCAGTGCTAAGGAAAACAAAATCCTAAACAAGAAACACCAGAGAAAATGATTTGGCAACTGATTTCTGTTCATACACACAAAATGAAAAATGATTATCCAAGAGTGAGTACTGCAGAAAGGGATTTGGGCTCATAGTGGACCACAAGCTAAATATGAGTCAACCGTGTGACACAGTTGCAAAAAAAGCAAACATCATTCTAGGATGCATTAGCAAGAGTGCTGTAACACACAAGAACTACTTCTTCCTCTCTACTTTGTGCTGATTAGGACGCAACTGAACTATTGTGTCCCGTTCTGAGGGCCACATTTCAGGAAAGATGTGGACAAATTGGCAAAAAGTCCAGAGAAGAGCAATAAAAGTGATTAAAGGTCTATAAACATGACCTATGAAGGAAGACTGAAAGAACTGGGTTTGTTTAGTCTAGAAAAGACAGAGGGAACATGATAACCATTTTCAAGTACCTAAAAGGTTGTTGAGGGGATGAGAAAGGTTGTTGATGAGGATGAGGGGAGAGAATTGTTTTTCTTGACCTCTAAGGATAGGATAGAAGCAATGGGCTTAAATTGCAGCAAGGGAGGTTTAGATTAGACATTAGGAAAAACCTCCTGTCAGGATGGTTAAACAATGGAGTAAGCTGCCTAGGGACACTACAGAATCTCCATCACTGGAGACTTTTAAGAGCAGATTAGAGAAACGCCTTTCAGAAATAGTCTCGATAACATGAGACGTGTCTGTCTCTTCACAGAATCCATAGGACTAGAAGAGATCTAGCCAACTGTTTATAAAATATACTCATCAGTTGCACATCTAGTGTAAGACTCAAAAGAAGATTGGTAGATATAAGCGCTATACTATCAGCAGTTTTACTCACAAAAATTATCATCAGTAGAGGACTTGAATTAACATACAAATGCAAAGATAAAGAACAATTTGGAAGAGAGCTGAATGCTTGTTCACTGTTTCGTTTCCTTAGACATACAGAACTCTAGAGCAGTTTGTGTGCACAGGTAGGAGTCCAATGTGCCAGATGAAATTGGGGAGGTTAAACACGTCTCATGCTAGCTCCTCAGAAACAACTAGAGGGATTTTCTCTAATCACTCTGTGCTTCTGCACCTGGGACTCAGAGCCAGCTCTGAGTGAGCAAAAGAGTGGACTTCCAAGGAAGAAAGTTACTTCTTAATGCCAAAGAGTGAACCTATGAGAAATAACAGAACAGTACACAGGAAAAGGAATATGGAAAGGAGAAAAAGAGTATCTGTGTCTGTCGATAACATTAAAAATGTCACAATCTTAACTTGTTTGGATTACTTCTTCCAATGCATAGACTGCACTTGAGTACTTTATAAATATTAATGAATGAAATCCCATTCAAATTAAAGTCCTATCAAAGAGTCTGTGTAAAGCATAATCTGATCACTGATATATCATTGCAAGTCAGCTGTGTTATGAAATTTTCATGCGGTTTTTTTTAAGTGTCTGGTGTCGGACACTGTTAGAGACATATTTAATAACTAAATGAACTATGGGTGAGTTTTGGTATGGTAATTTCTATTACATTTAGAATGATTATTTTGGTCTTATTCTAGGCAGACATCATACAAACCTCAAGCAGCTTTAGAGAAGCAAAGAAATTAGCATTTTCCATAATGTTCTTCAGTCTTTTTCTTTCATAGGCTGACAGCTGTGAAGATCCATCCTGCACCAAACAAACAACAGTAATAAAGACAGTCCACAGAGTACAAACATTTAAGACAGTATACAGAGTGCATTAAGAGGCCTGAAGTGTTGAGACAATACTTCTCTGTATAAAGTTACATGGCCTCTTTTTCTTTAAATAAAGAGACAAGATTTTAGGTTCCAAGCATCTCTTATAATAAATTTTACTTTAAGGAGTACTTGATATTTCTCCATTTCCAAACAAGTGTAAAAATATGAATTGGGAGGAATAAGAACAAAACATCACACTCACTTGACAGTACAGGTTGAATCTCCTAAATCTGGGGCTCCCTGGTCCGGCAGGATCACAGATGTTGCTGGATCAGACAACTCTAGTACCCAGACCCCGGTGGGGGCAGCCACAGAGCCCTATCCCCGGGAAGCCCCAGCCAGGCAGGACAAATAGGGCCATGGCAGCTGGGGAGCTCCATCACCAGAAAGCCCCAAACAGGGCCAGAGCCAAACCCAACCCCTGTCACAGCAGGGCTGGAGCAGAGCCAACCAGAGGAAGGGGCAGTGTCCTGTGAGGCCGGTGGCAGGGGAGCTCCTCTGATCTGGCAAATTCCCTCATTCAGAATAGGTCAGGTCCCAAAGGTGCTGGACCAAGGAGGTCCAACCCGTAGTACTTTAACAGAGTTCAATTAGCGTGGTCAGTCACTAGCAATTTGCATTTTGCCCTTAATACAAAAAGAAGCTGTAGAGTCCTCATTTTACTGTACTGCAGAAGCATTCTCTCTGCCCCCCATAAAGATATACAGTCACAGGAAAGAATAAAACAACACTAGCCCCAAAGACTGATATTTAAGGAATTAAATTTCTTAAAAGC